GTGGCACTGACAGAGCCGCAAACTAATCCAGCCCTTCTCCGCAACTGCACTTACTTGTTCAAATTAATACAGCCCATAGACCCTACCCACAGCCCTTGCACACAACTGATTGCCATGTGCTGGCAAACAGTGCCCAGGAGCCACACTGGGAATCAGGTCAGAGAGAACTAAACAAAAGAGACATGTATGAACCAATTTCTTCTGCGCCCACAGATTTCCACTGTCCAAAGCAAACAATGAAGGCTCTGTCTCTGGACTGTCTGTCAGTTCTGTGAAGCTGCTTTAATAGAAACAAACATGGACAAACTCATGCACAAGCAGACACGCCCACATGCATTCCCCTCCTTTCTGATGCTGGAGACTATCTGCCCAGAGCAGGGGTCAACTGATTTTGCTCAGTCTCCAGATCTTGCACCATGAGTCGCCCAATTCCCTTTGGGTCCTGGATCAGAATTCATGGACCCCAAAAAATGTGTGCCATCACCTTTTTTTGTATTAAAAGTGTTTTCCCTTACGAAATCTTGGAGCAAACAAATTCACAAAGTGCAAAAGCAAAGCACAAAAGCACATAAGTGACGTGAATCATTCCACTTGATATTTTGGAACCATTCACCAGGGACTCCTTTAGCACGTGCACCGTGGAATTCGCAGACACACTCACGACATCGGCAGGTACAATAATCATGTGAAACAACATTGCTAAGTGGGACATCAGGCAAAGATGACATGAAAAGAAAAACGGTAAACCTTCATTTATTCTGCAGCTACAGCTTAAACTCAAAATGTGAGGAGAGGAATGGCACCCAATTATTCACAGTACTTCCAGTCTTTTAAAAAGGCTAAGTAAGTGCTGCGGAGCTCTGTCACAACAGCAGCTTCATGGTCGTGCCTGTCAAGCTTCTTCCCCTCAGAGATTTGGACACCTATTGGGAATATGTGACTGAATATCACAAAGCAAAAGCAATGATCCTTAGCAGCTACACAGCTGTTTTCCTTATCTTTCTTCCCTGTAAAGCAGAGTTCACGGGTGGATGAACACTGCCTTCTCTTGAGCACTGCTTTTTAACACCTGCTTCTGCTGTCTGGCACCGAGCGCCTTACAGGAAAGTGACATCATCCTCTCAGAACCTGGACAGGACAGGAGGCCAGCCCTTTTGGAATAGGGGGATTCTCCACTAACACGGGGGCGGTGCTGTGATGCCTATGCTTATGATGGAAGAGCCGATGAGTCCACGTTCACATGGCAGTGGGGTTTTCACGTTATCTCTTCCTTGTTGTGGACTGTACAGATGCAGCAATACGTTTTTACCGCCAGTGTCCTAAATTAGCCACATTTCTACTGCTTGCTGGTATGACAGTGTGTTCAAGAAATGTAGAAGAGCTACTGTAACATCCAAATCCATGGTATGGCATCTGCTAGTCCCACATGTTCAAATTAAAACTCTTGCTAGCAGGACTAATTTCAGCAGAAAAGAGGCTTGTCCTTCTCTGGATTATCTCAAACCTGCCTGGCAAAGCGAGCACCTCGACTACTACAGATCTGGACTGAACAGGCCCTGGATATGGGATATTATTCCTGCACCTGTTATATTCTTCATTTTGACAGGACAGACTCTGCCCTACATGAACACCTTTCCTCATTTATTTACTACATGTCTAAATCTGTGAGCTTTTTTTTTTTCTTACAATTCCTTATGATTTTAGAAATGATGCATCTTCATTATTTTATCGATCTTTGTAAGCTTTGAGGCCGGGTTGAAAGAAAATAAATATTTTTCATTAAGAAATAGGCATCATTTTAACTAACGGCTTCTCCTGCATCTGAATCATTTCTACCTGAGACAAAGCATACTGTGCAACTGGGTTATGTACTAAGCAGGAGCTGCATTTAATGCAACTCTGTTTTGCTTGACTTACAAGCTAATGAATAAGCAAATGAAATCAGGGTGCTGAAATTAGAAGCAATCCTGAAGGCAGCATTAGGTCCTTTCTATTTTCTCCTGCACTGCAGGCAGCATCGTCACGCCCCACTGATCCAGAGTAAGACCCACTCCCCTGTCTCGGCATCCAGGCTTGGCAACAATGAACAAAAATAGAAGGCTAGAGGAAAGGGATTAAGACTTAAGAGGTGACATTCCAAGAATATGGCTGTCTAAACTCTCTCAAACGATCGGCTTCTCTGCCTCTCCTCATTCTCATTACTCCTAATGTTCGTGTGGCTTTTCACCGAGATGGCGGGCCTCTTGAATGCTGAACAGCATGGCAGAAACGGGACCAGACCAACAATGAGAAGACTAGTGGCCCCCAGCAGCCCCTGGACTTCGGCCGCCCCGTGCCTCGTCTGGTCTAAATGAAGATTGGAGACTCTCTGCTGCTCGGGAATGCCTGCTTTCTCGAATCATTGGCCCAGAGTACTCCTGAGACCGGTGCTCGTGCCGCATAATGAGGTGTCACTGGCGGTTACGCAGAGTGTCAGTGTGCAAGCGCTCCTAACAGCCGGGGCGCCCCGAGAAACGAGGCGCCGGCGTCCAACTAATCAGACGGCTGCGATGAGAGTCAATTACCTGGGGCACGTGGGAACGGGAGGGAAGGCAACAATGCCAGGTCACCGATCGGCACCTGTGCTTCCAAAATAAAAAGGTTTTGCCGTCTTCCTTCACTTTGAGAAGGGAAACTTTTCCCCAAGCTTAGCCTTTCTAGCACGAACACTCGGATTGTTCTTGAGCCTGGAGAGTGGCAGTCCCCACAATAATAACAATAACACTGAAAGCTGGCAGATTTATCCAGAACAGCTTACTGGGACTCCACTGAAGAGATACAACACGCACAACGAAGTTACAGATTCACTTATAACCTGACCTCAGCTTTGAGTCATCCAGACAATGGAGCACAAGAAGGCAAAGGACTTTTGTCATGGTGACCCATGTGATTTAGTGGCAAAGCTGAGGCTTGAACAGGCAGCCTTAACCACTGAACCATCTACAGCTTATCCAGCATATGGATTAGAAAGCAACTCTGAGTTTCAACACCCATAGTTAAAATCCATAGTTTTGATAAAAACCATTAAACAACTAAGAACTCCCAAGCAAGGATATTCTCAGGGCCGCAGTCCACCAAGTTTAATAGGATAAGAATTATACAGTATATACCTTACAATACTCACGGATACAGACCTGGAAAAAGTGGTATTAAAGACCCATTTGATGCAAATCATACAGTATTCATATATATTCCTTACACTTGTATAGTGCTTTACTGGACACTCCACTCAAAGAGCTTTACAGACAGCGGTAGCTCCGCCTGGACGATGTGATTGCAGTCATAAAGCGCACAGTACGCTCACCTCACATCAGCTAAATCATGCCGTTGAGAATCCATGGTGGAGTAAAGACCAGGAGTGAATATACTGGAAGTGCTCTGGAGACCTTTCATATTGAATTTTCATATTGACCAGTTTAACAGGAAATGTGTTCAATCAACACTGCGTACCCTCCAGGGACTGGAGCCGGATCCTGCCCGACACAGGTGAGCAGGATATTCATCGGATCAAAAATACACACTGCTGCAGGTCCCTGAGGTTTAATGATTGAGGAACTAGAGGCTGGAGAGTGCTACACATCTACCTGGAAATGCACTGTGAAATTGATCAAGCACAATCCATAGTAGAGCTACAAACATTTTGAATAAACACGTACCTAGCCAAGTAGAGTGCTACACAATTTGCACAGAACTGATATTGTTTTCATTGCCACCTTCAACTCAAGTCATTCTTCACAATAAGGATTTCCAGAATGGTTCATTAGCCGCTCAATTAATCATTTAATTCTCAGCCATTCCCATTAATGTTCGGGCTGGAAGAAGCTAATCCCTGCTCCCTCTCCTGCACTGCATTAAGAAAGTATTGAAACACTTTACTGTACAGTCCAATGTCTTGCTCTGGAGGAGCTGGACCACTTTTGAGTCAAAACGAGTTGTCTTTATCAGTTAATCCAAATTCTTGAATTCTTTATGTTTTTTTCCCTGAATTCAATTTTGTCTTTAGTCTCCCAAGAAGCCCCAAACCTATGCTGTTTCAAATCAATGTTTCTCAGGCAGGGGACCTCTGAAACATGCAGTGAATACAGGCTCCTAGTTGAAATATTTATTTTAAACAACACCTTAAATGATAGCATCTACGTGTTAGCATGGCACTTTACAGTGAAAAACCGCAAAAGCAAAAAGATTAGATGTACAGTAATATGCTCGATACAATGCAAATTAAACTAGTGCTCAAAAAAGGTGTTAAAAAGGGATTTAACAGAGCTGGCTGGCTGGCTAACTTGCTGACTTACAAGATCTAATAGAGGCTCAAAGGTCATTCCACAGCACTGGAGCACCCGAACAGAAAGTGTAGTCTCCCAGATTTCAGATCCTTGGCTGGTGAATTGTATACCGAGATGCTCTGTGGTTTTCATCTCGTTAGGGGGCCAGGCTAATGAAATCAGCAGAAATGGAACAGAACTGTCTCCCAAGAGTAAGATGCACCAGGGTTATGCTTGAAGAGGCCCTGCCACATGTTTTCCTAGCTACCCATTTGGCACCATGCCGTTCTGCGACATGGGCAGTGTCGTTCTGGGGACATGTCTCTCATCAGAGACACAGAGTGATGAGCAAGACCACAGATAGACCACCATGTCTATGCCTGAGCCCGTCATGCCAAGAGACTCTGTTCTAAAGCACACCTGAAGAGACACAGGTCCAGTCCTGGCTGCTGCAGTGCCAGCCCTACAGGAAGCATCTCTAAACACGAGCAGCCGGTCAACAGGCTCAGAGACCTGCTTCACTGCCTTGTAGGGTAGACATTCCCTCTTGACACAGGACCGCACAGGCATGCTGAAACTCCTCCGTTTGCGGGTCGCAGATGGAAAAGCAGGCACAGTTAGCATTGATATGGCGCAAAAGCAGCACAGCAGGAAAAGATCCTTCCCCCGCCAGCCAGAGTGCAGATCTGTGGGTCCTACCTTGGCCGCCGGCCGGCTTGCCGCTGCTGAGCTGCTTGAGACGCTTCTGGTGCGATTTGCCGTTGTAGTGGATCTGGGCCTGGGCGGCGGAGTTGAGCTGAATGTTGCACACCTCGCACAGCGTGTACGTCTGGTGCTTCTTCTCCCGCTTGAGGCGCTGCTCCGGGCCCCCCGGCGGGTCCCCCCCGCCCCGCTCCGGCGGGCCCTTCTCCAGCGCGGGGGCGGGGCTGAAGGGCCGCTTCATCCCTGCGGAGGAGGAGAGGGGGCATCGGTGAGCGGGCAGGGCGAACCCCACTTCAGACGACACTGCGACAGGGTTGCCCTAATTGTAGATTGTGGGTACCCCTAGGTGCCCTAAATTCAGCCCCCATTCTTACAGTATACAATTCTTCAACAGCAAGGAGAGGCTTGCATCTCAGGAAAGCAATTAAAACATGTCAATGTCAGGCAAGCAAGCGAGTTTTGCTCCCTTGACTTGTTCATTTCTATTTTGCTTTTTCCATTCAGAAATCTCAGGTATTAACTGGGGGTGTGTACCCTTATCCAACCCATTTCTCTTGGTTTTGCAATTACTTGATCCAGCCATTTGTTTTTCCCCTGGAGGTGGTGTGTTACAATGAATAAATAAAGGTCAAATAAATCCTGATTCCAGGCATCTTAGTTTCAGGCTGTTATGCCAAAAAATACATTACTTTGGAAAGGATGTGCAGACTTTATATACTGTAGGCAATGTATATCTATTTGTTCTTGATTTCTCCAAAACCTCTTCCAGGCTAAGAACAGACCCTGTTTTATATTTACTGTAAGTTTTCAATAGCTGGTGTACTGAGGTTTCCCTTTACAAAGAGGAGGATTTCAGAACAAAGTTATCCTAACAGCTAATATCTCAGGTGATGAAAAAGGCTAGGAAATATTATAAAGAGCAACACTCATGACCCGACCACTCCAACTATTTAACTCAGCGATGCCACAAACCAGCCCTTGATAGGAGTCACTAGCCTGTCTTCCACTTAATTACCTCCAAGACACAGTTAATGTAAACGTGAGCTAAGGATCAGCTAAATTGTAAGATTCCTAGAATTCAGAAGTATAGAACTGCGCCCAAAATTTGAGCTTGTGGGTGCAGTTCTGAGAAACATCCACTAGGGGACGCATATGTGCCACGTTGTGAAAAGTTGCTCAGCAGACACCTGATTGGGCTGAGCTAGCCCCTGTCATCACACAATTTTCTAGCTGAATAGCTTTGTAGCGCCTTTATTCCCACATTTTCTGATACAACAATAAATTAAGAGTTAAAATATAGAACGGCACCTCTCTGCGCTGCCTGTGAAACACTTTACTGCACCTTGACACAAACAGGAATAACTGTACAGCTGCTGTGGTACTACCATACAGTTGCCGTTGTGAAAAACGACAAGAATATATGATTTTAGAATAAATTTAGAAAAGCCTTCCGAGAGATCAGCAGTAGAGCCTGCTGGGAACAGCGGTCGATCAGTTCTGGTTCTGACCCGGTTTGCCATCCCCTCTGTGCTCCAGGATTGTTCTGAACCGGCTTTCTGAGCTAATGAGACAAGAGAGGACCCCAGAAGGACTTGAGCTGAGCCGGCAGCTCTGTTTTCTGCACCCCACTCGCAGCTCTGTTCATTTCGAATCATTTTCATTACCCTCACCTCGCCTGCCCTCAAGAATTCCCCCTGGCTCGGTCTGTGCAAATGCTGAAATGCCAGCATATCGGTCACATAGAATATGAGCATCAACCACCCACCCCGACAAGAGTTTCAGCCCGAAAGACAGACGACAGCACAGAGACATCACATTGTCGCCTCAGGCACACCAAATTGTGGATGTTTTGCGCACAGGAAAGGGATTTTGTGAAGGAAAAAAAAAACAACAAAATTGAGGCCACTCTGTCCAGTTTGCTGAACTGCAGAAGGATGACGCACGATACAGTTTTTGCTGTCCTGCATCCAGAAAGATTAGAATGAAGTGTGGATTAGAGATCCGTTGCAAAAATGAAATGCATTTTGGACTGTTAGTGCCTCCAGAATACTGTAATTTAAAGCATTTTGTAAAGGGAACTCGTATATTCCTAGCACACAATAAGTCTTGATTTTAAACAAGCATTATTTATCTGTTTTCATCAGCTTGTTTTATTATTCCCAGCATGGAAATACCATGGTAATGCATACTGTACAGCAATGTTGGAAATTCATGCATTAAGTCTGACAAATAAAAGCATCCCTCACTGAATTGTACAAGTCGTCGGTCTCCTCGTGATCTACATTTCAAAACCCCCCAGCTGTAAAGTCATTTTCAGTCACTGCGGTGTAAAACGGTCACTTTCCTATGCCTGCTATTCCTGTTCAAGAAATTCATTCTGACCACAATGGCGCCCCCTGTGATCCAATGTTGAAGACTGCAGCTGGAATTAAAATCGGCCCTTCCTTGAACAAGTTGAGTGCTGTGATTTCTTTATGTATTCTCATTAAAAAATTATAAACCTAAACACAATAGTTTATATAAAATGAAAGGAATAGAATAAAATACACTACAAGGTACATCGGTCAACATGCACCCACCCCAGGTAGTCTCCTACTGTATTTCCAAAGAGCAAAATGTTTTAATTGAACAATTCAGGATTAGAAGAACATACTGTATTTAGACTTTGTTCAAACAAACCGTTAGACACTTGTTTCATTATGATAGTGGAGGGGGCTCTGTTCTCTGGAGGTTGTGGGTTCAAATCCTAATTTAAAACTGCTACTGTGCCCCTGAGCACCAACATTTTAAATGGGCAGCAAAATTTCTAAGCTAAAACGAAGAGGTAGGTATAAAGTCAATAAGGACATCTGTTGAAAAGCGTTGGTAATAACAACAATAACGACAGCAGCTTAATTCGATTTTCGTTTGAGTAGGGAGCTGTGTCAGCATGCGCAGGCTGCAAAGGAACAGGTAAAGGTTTATTCCATGCTGTGACACACCTGAAGACAGTTCCACCGCCAAAACTCCTGTGTCTCCTCTCTTTTCCTTTCAGCGTGGAATAAACCCTTGCATGCTCCTTGGCAGCCTAAATTTCATAATATTGATTGTTTCAACTCTTGAAAACAGATGCAGAAAAAGCAGAAGGCTAATTAACTGCAACTCGCCACATTGCAATGGCCATCTCCAGGCGCGCCTGTCCCGTGCCAAGGGCAGGCTGTCCTTGCAGGAGCCGGCCAGCCCCTGGTTTATGCACGACACTAACGCAATATTCTACTGGATGCGGTATCAGAGTGGCGTTACAGGAAACAGAGTGGTACTGCAGGCGTGTTCAATGCATTACAGCCCCCGTAACTGAAACGCGAGAGCCGGAGGGATACCGATGCCACAGAGGCACCGGCTGGCCTTTCTCCTCCCGGACAGCACACGGCCCGCCGAGTCATCCCGCGCTCCTGCCTTTCCAGCTGGGATCGCCCCGCTCCCAGGGCTGCCCTCCGCTTCCTCAGTTCCAACCCATTCCTGACCTTCCCACTGGGAAAGGACTCTCGCCCGACTCCGAGCGAGAGCCGATCTCACAGCTGCTGGGCTGAAATTCAAAACTGCGATCTGAGCAGGTAACTGCGAGAAGATGACCAGCTGTATACGAGGAGAGGTCCTGCCACATTTTCACACCTCTTTTCTTTGCAACTTTTGGCGTATTCAATTTCAAGCAATTTTGCACACAAAAAAAACAAACAAATGCCGCCCAGCAATGCAGGGCTGGCAAACTGCTTTGCGGTTTTGTGACTTTTATTTTGGAATTAAAAACATAAGCTACATAAACCCAGTCTGCCGGATCCATGAAAATGTCTCAATTAAAAGACTTTGAAGATAAAACACAAGACATATGGAAAGCGGTCTGTTTCATTACAAGGTACAGTGATTTCCATAAAATATTGTCTCTTGAAGTCTACAGAAACAATCTAGTAAGCATTGCCTAAAGTTCATTTTTTGTTCACTCTCGGTGCATGCAAATGTCAACAGGAATCTAAAAGCTTTGCTGTAGAGAAGATTTTCCTTGAAAAACACTTCCTTCATCTGCGGTGGGGTACATGGTCCCACACAGTCGTGCTCTCAAGCCCCGGTGGCTGTGATGCTGGCGGTATAGCCCGAGGAAATGCAGGGAATGGCTAAACTAATGACAGCCTGATAACGAGCAGCGAAAAAAACTCTCCGACTTCCTAATGTCAGCATCATCAGTGGAGCTGGGGAAGCACACAGTTCAGCTGCGGGTCGAGATCTCACACTGGGGCTGCTGGGAGCCTTTTGCACTTAGAAGACAGACCACACGTCTCCGGCCTCCTGAGAACACGCCGCTCAGCTCCGTGTGCGGGGACGCCCTCCACACGCCGGGCACGTTCATTCCACTGGATACAACCGGCTGTTTCCCGGGACTTCATTATTACTGGGTTAGAGGTCGTAGGGAGCCCCCAGCGGAACAAGAAAATCAGAGTTAGAGCACTGTGGAGCTGCGGCACGCTGCACTCCTGCCTGATCATCTTTCCGAAAAGGCATTTCTCCCAGGGCCTTCCTTCCCTTCAGAGCTCCCCTCCTCTCTCTGATGTCTACTGCTCTTCGGTCCCAGCCTGTAGGTTCAGAGCTTAACCCTGAGAGCAAGCTCATTATGGACAGAGCCCTGCCACACCAACATGGACAGTCCAGTCCTGCAGGGCTAAGGTCTCTGCAGATTTTCATTCCAGCTCAGCCATTAAGGACTCACACGAGCTAACTTTTCATTTAACTGAAGCACTTCCACGGCTTGTCCTAGACCTTGAGGTGGTGATGATTTCAAAAGATCTACAAATCTGGACTGCAACCCCTCCAGGACTTGGCACGAACAGTAAAAGTACATTGCACAACAATGAGCACTCCCAAACACAGCAATATCTGGCACTGAGGCTTAAGCACATCCTTCCCGTCCTTATTTACTATTCTGAACTCTAAAACTAGTCCCTTACAAGCAAATTAACCTAACAGTTCTGTCAAGACTTGGGTTTGAATTTCCCAAGAGAAAACACGAGGACTAGTTATCTCTTTCCGTGTTCAGTTATGGGATTGCTTTTCATTTTATGGGAAGAGTGAAAGATTTGAGGTAATGATGGGAATCATGACACCCATCTTTATGAACCAACTCTTGCTAGAGGCTCACAGCACATTCTTAACAGAATATCGTCTGGTTTGCGCTATTTGTGTAGGGAAGACAGATTAGACAACTGCTTACTTGC